AAGTTCGCAGAAGATATCCTTTGAGTACACACTAAATTTGGAATATGAAAGGTAATTATTTAAATTAAGCTAAGGCAATGTATAATCACATCTAACTATAAAATTATGCTATCAGCTATCTGCACAGCTTTATAATTGACACAAGTGATAAAATGGTCATGAATCTTTTTAGTGATCTTGACAAGCATCACATCAATACATATAATATTCCTCCAGAACCGCAAGTGGATGATAGCTTATTAGACTTTCTCTTACGCTACAGACAAGTGAGTATTACTAACTACGTGTACTATCGTTAAGCAATGCATAGCAATATTAAATCATTGTGTTATAATTGCGTCCTCTAGAAAACTCCTCAAGATCTACGTAAGTTAATCAACACTGGTATCGATTTACCTTCTTATGACCCGCAGAGGGATTATGATTATCACTACATACATGAAGTTTTCTCTCATTTGTGAGTAATTAACAACATTTTGCAAGTATCTTTAATATTATCTAAATCAAAATTTTTATTACTAGACTTTCACGGTATGAAATTAGGTCTAATGATTTTGTAAATCCTCACTTAGAGGGTTGGTTCAAGACAAACATATGGAGTATAATCGTAGATTATTGTCTTTTAGATGTGGTAAATTCAGAATTTATACGGTAAGTGTGCTATTATTTTTCTAAACATGAATATAGATATAAAATTTTTAACGAAATTTTCTTTTAGTGGTGAAGGTTGCTCTCGTGCCTCGGGTCAACGAAAAAATAATGGAAGAAAGAGTTCGGAAGTTAGAAAACTTCTTGGTCGTAAGTGTGATGGAATATTACGAGAATTGGGGACGCCAGAAGAGTTTGCAATAAGTGAAGAGGGTAAACTATGGGATGGAGAAGACGGAACCAAATGCTTGAATGATGGTCTAAAAAAATTACCAAAAACAATGCGAGATGTACTAGTCCAAAAAGTAAAGAAGTTCAAACTTAGTTTCGTAATATCCCACCAACTTGAAATTGTAGGCTTCCTTCATTCTGGTAAGATACCTCTTATTGAATAGTATTTTTTATGAGTCTTACCTTTCTCTTTTATTAATTATTCTATTATTTATCATTATGCTAGGGCAATATCTCCAGCAATTAGTAATGGACGTACCATGTGGATCTATTTGTCGACTACGCAGATATCCTTCCACAAAAATCCCGGCAAGATTGGACGAAATAGATGAATTAATTACGATGGTGAATGACATGCTAATTGCGAAGGTATGCTCAATTCAATTGTGATTCATCAATTAATGACCTATATTTAATATAATTTGTTTTTATTTAGTTACGTATTAAGAGATGTATTGAAATTGTAAATAACATGAATTCTTCTAGCAATGTGGAATTAAAGAGGCGTTTGAAGAACCGAAAAGAGATTAAAGTAGACGCGGATAACCTTCCTGATACACAAAAAACTCCGGAAACAAAAAAATCAAAGTAGATATACTGCTCTGTGTAATTTGAACGTCAAACCTATTCATAGCATGCATCTAATTCTTGGTTTACGATCCACTGTAACGTACACGCACTATATGAAACCGATATCGCAGTTTTAAAGTTTATTGTAATATGCAAAAACTATAAGTTTCATTCAAATGGGCTTTATTTTTTAACATGAATTTGCTTGGGTGTATATGTGAGAAGGCGGTTTTAAATCTAATCAGTGAAAACTTACTGCGTCAAATTTTACTTAAGTATGAACGCCTGTTCACACTTGCCGAAGCTTTTTTAACATTATCTAGTCATGTATACTTATCAATTATTTTTAAACTTGTGTACTCCTATAAATCTATTAATGCTATGCGAACTGCCCATCGAATGACAGCTACTAAAATATCGCTCATGATTGAGAAATAACTTAGCGCCATGTGATCTGTTAATCACGAGAACTAATCTATGCATATTAGCATAGCCGGAAGTAGTATATAAATTTCCCGGTCTGCTTGTAATCGAATAAAAATGAATTTGGATTTATATAGTAGAGTATAATCTTGCTAAATCAGCTATAATTCACTAACTGCTAAAATCATTAAAAACGCTATAATCTCTTAATCGCTAAAATCATTAAATATGGTATATTCTAACTCCCTTGTACATTTAAGTGAAACTGATTCGTATGTTAACTACGATCTTCCTAGGATACATGGGAATGAGACTCCATCCGATTGGAAGAAGCGAATTTGGGACACAATGGTTTATAGAAAAAATCGTCTTTTAACTGATCCTAATATAGAGTTTGGAACCGGTTTTATTTTTCATATGATAAAATCGATTAAAACCGGTTTTAAAATATGAAAAATAAAACCGGTTCTAAACTCTATCCTAATAAGAGATATCTTATCATATCGCCAGAAACCCAAAATATTTATATACGTGTGATATTTGGTGGGGTCGTCTAAAGTGGAGTATAATCACGTGATATCCGGCCAATCAAATTAATGATCGCCGCCGAAGCAAAACAAGAAATAAAAACGAAAAACCTGAAAAATACAAAAAACAGCAGTCTAAACCTACCTCAGGTGGGTTAATTAAAAATGTCGGGAAGGCAATTTTGCTTATATATAAATACCTAAAGCCTAACCTAACCCTAATATAAGATGACCCTAACCCTAAAGTTAATTCAATAAAATATATTATAAGAAACTGCTCCGCTTTAGACGTTCCCAAAAAACAGATAACGAACGTTTTTTATTGCACTGATGTGTAATCTTCGAAAAGACTACGTAGTCACTTTGAAAAATTTTCTAATATTCAGCGATTACATGTACATGTGCTACAAATATCAAGATTGTAGCACCATACACGACATTCTAAATCAAAAGTCTTATGTACACATGCACGCATTCACTTTCGTTCTCTTGATCCCTAGAAGCGCAATGATTCCACCACTTTTCACATCTTATAATCAAGTCGTGGCTGAGAATGATCACTCTCTGATGGAACAGTCGGCCATCTTTTTAGATAGTAAGGGTAGTAACGTTGATATGTACATAATTGCAGGTTACGAATGGAATCGTAAAATGTTTAAAGTCCATACATCTATTTTAAAGGATCGATGTGAATATTTTAGAATGGCACTGTCCAATAAACGTATTTGCAAAAATTCTGATGGGATCATTATTTTTTATAAAGAAGATATTTCGCCGGAAATCTTTAATTTAATTCTTGAGTAAGTCATAGTATCATTTCTAATAAAGTTTAGATTGAATTTAATCGAATCGACTTTTAGCTATATTTATACTGGTGAGGTCTCAACGACACTTTGTGATGAATGCGTTAATATTTTAGAGTTTATCATAGCTGCGGATGAAATGTTACTTCCGCAACTAGTTGCCTCTTTAGAAAGTTTCCTTATTGACGAATATTTAAAGCAGTCTTCACCTGAAATTGAGGCATGGATATTTTGCTTAATTACAATAAATAAGGGTGAGCTTTGTATTTATATCATGGTGATAACTACATGATATATGAATATTGTTTAAAATAATTTTTAATTTTTCTTTAAGAACCATTTTTGACACGGTTTGAAGAACGTGTCAAAACTACAGGCCTTGACTTTTTTAAGAATATTATTCCCAGCAATGTTAATAATAAGATAGTATGCTCCATATTTTAATTAGGATCTCTTCCAGTATAGGTGATACCACTAATAAAATGTAATATTAATCAATTGATTTAGAATAGGTGTCGCCCATACTGAAGAGATCCTTTAATTCGTATTTTGATATTTAAATTACTGATAAATTAATATTAATATTACTTATATTATAGGAACCAAAAGCATATATTTATGCATTGCTTGAAGTGCATACTATGTGTGAAAATATGATTATTGAATTCAGAGGCGATATTAATTTTACTGCTTCCCTGCATAAGGTAAATATCACATCTTGGTGTATATATGAACCAGGTGCTGAGAAAAGGGACCCAATTAATAAAATTTTATTGATATAACAGTATTTATTTCCTAAGTGAAAAACATTAGTTAAGCTCAAACAAAATTTTTGAAATTTGTTAAATTTGGTTCCTTTTTCCAGCACCTAGCCATACATAAATTAATTTCATTATTGATATTAATAACCTATCATCAGGTGTACCAAAAAATTGTAAATCGCAATCATGTCTGTGAATCCTCAACATCTAGAACACCAGAATTATTAGCCCAATTTTGTGATTCTTTACTTAGAAAAATTAACACTGTAGACAGTGACTTTGAAGACGTTGTATGTACATATCACAATATTATATCAAATTTGTATATTTCACACTATTAAAAAAATTTATTTAGATGACTATATATAAATATGTGGACGATAAGGATGTTTTTCAAAAATTCTATTCAAAAATGTTGGTAAAGCGTTTGATAAATGAGACATCAGTATCAGAAATCGCAGAATATAATATGATTTCAAAATTAAAGGTCAGTTAAAATAACATACATATATGCATTTTAAATTTAATAAACCTTAATGTTTTCTTATATATTTATAGGAAACAAGTAGTTTTGAATATACTTCAAAATTATATCGAATGTTTACTGACATAAAGACCTTAATGATCTGTTCAAAAAGTACTGTTCTACAACATCTAATGCACAAGGCAACTAAATTGTTTAAAAATATAATATGATGATATATTATTATTAATGTTAAATAAGCTTATTTTGTGTATTTACTGTATATGCTTCAGTTGACTTTTCTTTTCTTGTTTTGAATACTGCATGTTGGCCACTTCAACAACTAAAAACGGATTTTATCATGCCAGAAGAAGTAAATATGATAAAAGTTAGAGATTTAATTTTTACATATATATTTCTAACTTTTTTTTTTGACATTAGTTTAAAGAAATTTTTCAACAATTCAAGACATTTTATCAAAATCAATATTCTGGACGTAAACTTAATTTGCTGTTCCATCTTTCAAAAGGTGAACTGAAGACTAATTATTGTAAAAAAGCTTATACATTCGTGGTTCGTAATTAAAAAGTTTTATAATCAGTTGATTATTCTTAATATAAAATGTAAATCAGCATCTCTATTAAATTCCAGGCATCAACATATCAAATGGGCATACTTTTACAATACAACAAAAAAATGTCATATACTTTTGAAGAGTTAAAGCAGAAAACAGATTTAAATGAATGTGTCTTGATAGATCACTTAGAAGTCCTCGTAGAAACTAAAATACTCGAGATTTCTAATGGCACTAAAGTCGGTGATCCTTTATCTTGTTATAAATTGAACATGGATTTCGAAAGGTTATTATTTGTTTAACCATTCTTAAGCGTTTATTCGACTTGAAATTACATATAATATATAATAATCTATGGCAACAATTTGCTTTATATTGTATATTAGTAAAAAAATTCGTATTCAACTAAATGTTCAAAGTAAATCCGATCGAAATAATGAAAGTCAAATGATTGCCGAAGATAGGATGTTACTAATACAGGTATGTAAATTTAAATTGATTATACACATATACATATTTTGTATAATTACAAGAATTACGATCACAATTTTATATATACTTTAGGCTGCTATTCATAGGATTGTGAAGTATAGAAAAAAATTAATGCATGTTGTATTGGTTAACGAAGTGATTGCCGAAATTTCTCATCGCTTCAAACCTGGAATACCTGAAATTAAGAAATGCATTGACTTTATGAAAGAAAAAGAATATATATATATTGAAAATCGTAACATGATTTGTTGGAAACCGTGAAATTTCAGATATAAAAATTTATATCTAAAATTATCAAATTTAACTAAAATTTTCCATATTACATTATAGTTTGTGATACGTAGGGATGGAATACTGCGCAGGTGGAATATTTTGAATTCGGAATATTTCAGAATTTTACAATTTTGGCCTGTATTAGCATAAAACTACCATAATGTGGGTCTGTGCAGGCTGCACAGCCTGCGCAGTAGATTCAAAAAATCTTCGATTTGCCTATCTCTAGTGATACGTATTTTATTTTTAATAATAAAAATT